GAAGGCACCCAAGTCAGGTTTATTGTGGAACCAAGTCCACTAATGTTTTCGGTAGCCAGTTGGCCTCCTACCCCCTACGTATTTGTACCTGGGACAATGGACCCAGCTCTGTCGATAGCATGGATTTCACTATGTCCTCCAGGCCAGCTAAAGAGTTAAGTGAGGTGACCCAACATTTAGAGACAGAAATGAACAATCTATGATATCCATCGTAACTATCTTCTTACACATTAACGACCTCCCCTTGGACTTTCCTCCAAAGCATTCACTGCCAACATTACGCTTTTCCTCTTGTTGTTTTAAACTGTTTTCTTATGTACGGAGCTGGGAGTTCTTGTACTGCCCTGGTGGCAGGTATTTCCACACTTCGTGTGCTTTAATCAGTGCCAGCCACTTTAGTGCCGAGACACGCAGACTTGAAGGCAAATATCTGCTTTGGACACGGCCTTTTACTCATGCAATAACTCCTGCTGACTTTGGTTTAAACATCGGGCCCATGCTTCAGGCTCTCTCTTTTGCCTACAGGGGCGTGCGGGATGCAGGCTTGGGCAACGCAGGAATCAGGGAAGGGGGAGTTTCTGATGTCAGTTGAAATCTCTTTCCTAATGGTGTAGGAGATGAGGAGATCTCTTTGAACCAGGCACGCCTATGGTGGGTTGGGGGCAACAAAGGGAGAAGTTGCCCCCCAGACTTGGGCTGTAAACTAAGGAATTTGCCCTGAATTGTTCTTTTTGGTAGTGATCCCTCAAAACCCATTTTTATTCCCACTTTTCCCTGCTTCCCTCTAGCCACTAGTGAGCTGCTCTTCAGTCCTTGAGGCCCTCAGAAAGAGGTGAGACAGGGAAAATGCTCTGAGAGAGATCACCACTAGTGACTTGAGCCAATCTTTGGGCCATCTAGAGAAGAACCCTCAGCCTCCCAGCCCTCAGAGTCTCAACACCAGCTGGCTGTGCTTAAGGCTAAAGCTCCCCCTTTTCCTCCATCAGTTTGCCTGAAAGTGTAGGGCGCTGATGAGGCTGTTGGTCTTCTCCTGAAGCTCCTGTCCTCTAGAGCTCCCCCTCCTTGCCTCTGAGTCCTAAAGACCTTGGATCAGGGCCAGATGCTTGATAGACAATCAACTTGCTTCCCTGGGCTTTTTGCTTTCAAACGAGATCCCACACAGAGCCCGGGCCCAGGCTCTCCTGAAAGTGACCAGCAACTCCATATCACCCCTATACGGACATCCACCATCATCCACATGGACTATGACAGCTGTCGAGGTAGGTTTTCACTTGGTGCCTGTCACCGGAGTATCTGAAGGCCAAGTAGCCAAGTGCCACTTGCCATGGGGGGAGGCAGTCGCTCTCCCCTCTTCACAAGAGCCTAGCTTTCTGTTTTCATTTCATCTAAAGTAGCAGGAGCGCTGATGAGCACGGGCTTGTTTACGCCAGAATGCTGAACAGCTTGAGCTCTGCCTGTGAGGTTCAAATGGTACACACCCTCTACATGGACACAGGGATGTCAGCATAAAGGGGCTTTATACCGGTGTTGTAAGGGGAATAAGCTACATCGGTGTCAGTCACTTTTATGAGGCTATAATACACGCACTAAAAATTGTGCTGGGACAACTACTGAGGCAGGAATACAGATATGCATCCCAGTCCAAACCAGTTCTGTAAGTACAGCAATTTATGTGGAGACCAGGCCATTAGCCATTAGGAAACACCAGAGTGAAGGAGACGAGAAGTCCTGTAGCACATTATAAACTAAGAAATTTATTGGAACATAAATAAATCTCCTGAGTTGTCCTGTTCATCAACTTGCACCTTTTCACCTCTCACTTACATGCAACTTTTAATATGATTGCTTTTAGAATATCAAAGGCACTCAAATAAGATGATTTTAAGTATGGCATAACAGCATAGGAAATAGATAGGTAGATGGCTGACAGGAAGATGCAACAGACTGCACCTGGCCAGTGTAGGATCAAGTCCAATTTTTGTAAAATCAAACAAAGTATCAGTATGGTAAGGGCAAGAGGAGGTAATACTGAATATGAGATTTTTCAGAAGGAAACAGCGAGGGGGTGGGAGCAAACTTGACGAGATGTGAGGTCCCATAAGGTTGTGTTGCACTCTTGGAATGCAGCAAAATTACCTGAAAGTCATCCAATGTGGGCAGCAGAGGATTCCTCCAAGATGGGCCTGCCTTGTAGGCAAGATATATTTAATGGTGAGGTGGGGCGCTGGGGCTGGCCCAGGTTGTTGGCGGGCGCACACAAATGCCCCGGTGGGCGCCATGGCGCCCGCGGGCACCACGTTGGGGACGACTGTTATAGACTAATAGATTTATTGGAGCTTAAGCTTTCGTGGGCAAAGACCCACTTCGTCAGATGCATGAAGTAACCAGAGTGAAGGTTACTTGTATGACTGTAGCACAGTGCCTCTCTGCATGTGTGTTGTGACAGACTCACAAGTGTTGCCTTGCGGTCAATTAACTTCCCCTCACTGCTTCCATTTCCTTCAAACTACCCAGGGAAATGGTGGTTTCTCCATCTCGTGATGTCATCCAATAGACACCAAATGCCTTTCTGGGGGGTACTGTTGTCCAGATCTTGCCACTGTGTCAGACAGGCCTGTGAAGTGCAGGGGAAACAGGAGATGGCCAAATGGTCTCTCCTGGCTTTAAAGTCTCTAATCCTCTGCCCAACAGAGGAGTGTGGCACATTGAGCAGTCTCTGATGTCTGACACTGAGCGAGTGCAGGGTAACAGAGCGGGAACAGCGCAAACCTCCAAAGGGGCTGGCCAGGGGCAGGACGTGAGCCCTGCACAGCCGCGGTGGGCGTGACAGCGACATCACAAGGGCCTTTTGCAGCACCTCAGCTGATTGGTCAGAGGAGGTTGGGAAGCGGTGACCTCACAGAGTGCCCATGACAATGGGAAGGTAAGAGGGGCTGCAGAGCAGGGGCAATCTCGGAGCCCCCCGTGGCTTTGCTGCAGGGAGTCTCTGACCTGAGATTGTCACCTTGAGCGCTGAGAGAGAATTCAGGCTCAGGAGCATGGGGAGGAGCTGTCACGTTGCTGAATTGGAGGGAAGCAGCCAGCGAAGCTGCAACCACTGCTCTAGGTTTGCAACAACCCTTGCACACTGTGTGATGAGCTGTTAATGAAAAGGGTGTAACTGGCTGGTTAGGATCACGCCCTTTGCGTGCAGGTATCGTTTTTGTACGTGAAGTTACGGACATGGGCCGTGTACTTGTATTTCATGTGGTTGCACCCGGCAGACAGCCACAGGAGGTTTGGCCAACTTTAGCGTGGTGACAGGAAAGTGGAACAGAAGGACCTGCGTGGTTGCACCCAGGAGACAGCAACAGGAGGTTTGGCCAACTTTAGCATGGTGACAGGAAAGTGGAACAGAAGGACCTGACGGACAACGGTACTTGGCAGGTGCCAATCCACATATGACGTGCTTTCCTGTGCACGGCAGCAATGGCCTCTACCTGTAAAGAACTGAGTCATGCATGGACCTGTGACACGCCCATGTGATCCACGTGCCTCTTCCCCCGAGTGCCCGTCCCGTCCTCGCTCGGTCCAAGCTGGTCCCTCTGCTGCCCTCGGCGCAGACTCTGCAGCCTGGTTGACCCCCCCTCCACGTCCAGAAAATCCCCTGCTTCGAAACCAGTCAGTTCCCAAAGATGTTGGGCCAGGCAAGTGCAACCTGTATACACTGAAATTTAAGCATCAAATCTGTATTCCCATGGATTTGTTTTAGAACAATAGTAGATTTACCCACCATTGCTCGGTCCTTCAGGGCAGGGGGCTGGAAGGTGCAGGAGTCAGGACTGGGGGTGCAGAGGGGCTCAGGGTGGGGGTGCAGGAGTCAGAGCAGTGGGTGGAGGATTCAGGGCAGAAATGTGGGGGGGCGCAGGAGGCAGGGCAGGAGGCTGGGTGTGTGGAGGGCTCAGGGCAGGAAGTGAGGGGCACAGGAGTTGGATATGGTGGGTTAGGGCAGGAGGTGGGGGGCTCAGGGCAAGGGGTGGCGGTGCAGGAATCAGGGCAGAGTTGGGAGGTGAGAGAGGACTCAGGGCAGGTTTGGGAGGTACCGAACTCAGGGCAGGGGGTTGAATGTCGGGTCTCCAGGCAGGGGGTGAGGTCTCAGGGCAGAGAGTGAGGGATGCAGCATCCAGGGTGAGGTTTGGGTGGGGTGAGTCTCAGGACAGGGGATGAGGGTCCTCTATTGAAATCAATATCTCAGCTGGCTGGCGCGCGGGGGCCGCCCCAGGGTCTAAGCAGACGCAGTGTCAGAGCTGATCAGGGCTGCAGCTCCATTTACCTCCCCCGGAGAAATAATCGTCACATCCTGACCAGTCGTTGGAGTCAGACAGGTGTCGGGGGCCGGACAGACAGAGACGACTCCCTGACTGTGAACCACGTTGAGAACAGATTTAATTACAAAAAGAGAAAAAAAACTTTTAAAAACTATGAAACATAAACCCCTTAAATGCTTATGTAAATACGCTGCTATTCGTGTGTACACGGACAACAGGGTCCCTGGCCAGACCCGTTCTGCATACACAGCTCTCAAGCCCTGTTCTGTATTCATGAGGGCAGAGCCCTGGGCCAGACCTGCTCTCTGTACAGAGGGCAGAGCCGTGGGCCATATCCGCTCTGTCCACACAGGACACCAGGCCAGACCCTTCTGCCCACACAGAGCATCAACAACCCCCCTTCCATGCCTCTGACTTTCCCCACGGCATAAGCCAGACAAACCGAGGGGCTGAGGCCAGTGAGTCCAGCCAGGGGCCGGAGACAAGAAGGGGGATGCGGAAAGGGAAAGGGCAGGGAAGAGACGCAGAGGGACAGGGACACTGGTGGACTTGGCAAGGGGTCTCCCAATACCTGTGTGATTTCTTCACATGGGGATCAGCCCACCGGAGAGGTTTATTTAGAGATGGGACCCCGTGGAGTGAAGGGAAACTGGGAAAAGGGGAATCTCTGTGTGTGTGTGTGTGTGTGTGTAGGAAACTGGGAAAAGGGGAATCTCTGTCTGTGTGTGTGTGTGTGCGTGTGCGTGGGTGCGTGCATGCACGCGCACAGGGGAGAATGCCCCATTCTGTGCTTCCCCATCTCTACCCCCCACCCTGGTTGCCTCGCTCCCTCTCCATAGGGGGAAATCACCTCGTTCCACACTCCAGGTATCCCCCATCCCGCAGCTATCAAAATCCCCTCCCTGGGAGGGATCATCCCGTTCTCAGACCCCGTCCTTCGCCACAAAACCCAGCTGTAAATCCCCGGTATCCTGCTGGCCCCATAACCCATTTTGCTGCTGTGACCCACCAGAGGGCTGCTGACAGCAGAACAAGTCCAACCCCTCCAGCACCAGCACTGGAGGGCAAAGAGCTACCTTCGCACATTCTCGCCCGCGAGCTTCAATCGCTCTGCGTTCGGTAGGAAACGGTAGCTGCCGCCTGGGCGCCGGGCCCCTGCGTCTTGCCATTCACCACCAGCAGGAGTGGGGTTTCCACACGGATCCCAGGGAAGGAGAAGCTCTGGAGGTACCATGAAGACAGAGAAGTCACTCAGAAGGGTGGTTAACTCTGAACCCTACTGATGACAGTTTGCACATTCATGTGTTGAAATTTCCCAGCCCATTTAAGAGTCAAGGCAAATTCCACCATGGGCACTGGGGCCTACCAGTGAGGATCTCCATTTCATGTGTGCGGTTTTTAAACCTGCCTAAGGGACCTGGGTACCCAAATTTAACAAGTGTAGGAAGCTCAAATCCCCCAGGCAGCCGTAAAAAACCTGAAGAGCCAAAATCCCCACATTCCTAGATGACTGAGATGCGCTCCTGTGACAAAGTGGGGATTTTATTCCCTTTGTTACCTTGCGTGTGGTTTCGACTGTCCTGTAGTGAACCTGTGTGCCTCAGTTTCCCTGGGTGCTGCACCAATACTAGATGGGGATGGCAATTTCGGCGTGATTGCCTTCCCCATGTACACAATGGCTGATGCTCTCTGGGTGTGACCAGCAATAAACCCCCTCTAATCTACCGGCTGGCGGAGTCTATTCTGGCTGCTATGGGGGTGCAGGATCGGGGGAACCCCAACGTGCTGTCACACCCGGTGACACCTTTTGCCTGGGAAACAGGACGAAGGTGGAGCTGGCTGCAGGGCTGTGAGGGACGGACGGCTCAGTGCGAGTTTGTCTCAGCTGGCGAGGAGCACAGGTCAAGGCACTTAGCTCCGGGCCCTTCTCCCCATCATGGATTGTACTGACAGCTTCTGTGCTGACAAGTCTGTTCTACGCTGTATCCCTGTCGCCCTTCTGTTCTAGCTGCTGGCTGAGTTACATCTGAGCGCAGATGGGGGTCCAGGGCCAGTGACCCCTCCAGTGAGGGAGGAAGTGCCACATCTCCCGGCAATAGTGTGAACATGAATTTCCTCTCTAGGCACTCCTGTGCAGCTAACGGACTTCTGCTTCCTGGGATGTGGGTCGGGACACTGGGTGGGGAATCTTCCTCATCCACCTCTACTTGCACAAGGGGTCTGCGAAAGATGCATTGCCCCCGCGGTGCTGTGACACAGGCCATAGCACTCCCTGGTGCGTGGAGCCGTAACAGAGGTGGAACGTCCCGTGCAGGAAGTGATGCACATAGCAGACAGGAAGTCTTAAAATAATTCCTACTTGCCACCAGGAGGACGCAACAGGTGGATGGAGGGCATGAGGAAAGGGCGAGAATTAACCCTTACACTGACAAAGGACTATGGTCCTGTATCACCCTACTGTCTCCGGTGACTTCCCGTGTACCTCCCGCCCCACGGCCAGGCATACGGTCGCCAATGAGCACTCCCCAGCTCTGGACCATGTTATAGACGGTGACAGCAAAGCAGGGGCCCGTGGAGTCCGCCAGGCCAAACGTGCTGCCAAGAAACCAGGCGAGAGTGTGAGCAGGGTCTGGGACAGGAGCTGCGGGGATGGACAGATGGTTAGCTACATGGAGGGCTGTGAGAATGGACGGATGGAAATGAGGAAAGATGGCTGGATGGACAGAGCTCAGGACTGACGGATGGGTAATGGGATGGATGGACAGGGCTCATGCCTGACGGATGGGTAACGGGATGGACGGATGGATGGACAAGGCTCAGGACTGACAGATAACGGGAGGGATGGACGGATGGATGGATGGACAGGGCTCATGCCTGACGGATGGGTAACGGGATGGACGGATGGATGGACAAGGCTCAGGACTGATGGATGGGTAATGGGGTGGATGGACGGACAGGGCTTAGGACTGACAGATGGATTATGGGATGGATGGACAAGGCTCAGGACTGACGGATGGGTAGCGGGGTGGATGGACGGACAGGGCTCAGGACTGACAGACAGATAACAGGGCAGACAGATGCGTGGAGCAGAAGATGGACAGGCAGCGTCGACAGAAAGCACTGGCAATGGGTTGACGGACAGGTGTCACTCACAAGGGAACTTTCTCGTCCGTGGTGAGGCTGAAGACCACCCTGCCGAGCACTACGACCCCCGTGTTCACGCCTGGCTGCAGGGCGCTCAGCGGGCGATGCTCCAGTGCCACTTTCTGGCCCGAGGATCCTTGGTATCGCCCGTCCCCACAGGGACCCAGCTGGGATGGGCCCAGGCTTCCCAGCATGCTCTGCAGCTTCTTACCCTTCACTTTGCCCTGCGGGGGAGGCAGGGGAGCAGGGTCACTGATGGAGACATGGCTCCCTGCAGGCCGGGCAGGGGGCAGGGCAGACGCTCTACCTTGTTGTCCAGGAGGCTGGTGAGTCGCTCCAGGAAATCCAGAAGCTGCTGCTGGCGCTGCCGGGGTTCGGGCCAGGCGGGGTCAAGGGCGGCCGCGCGGGAGAAGCCCTCCAGGGCCTCTGTGTAATTCTCCTCGTATTTATGGAGCTGGCCCAAGAGACACAGCACAATGCTCCGGTGACGGGGCTCGGAGCCAGCACGCCGGGGCTCCACGCAGGCCAGAGCTCGAGAGGGTCAGAGCGAGGGAGCCGGGACGCCTGCTTTCCTCTCCTGGCTCCAGGTGCTTTCTAGAGCCACTCTGGGGCACTGCCTCCTGGGGCAAGCGCCCCTCCGAGCCCCCAGGCCTCCCACTTACCCCCTCTACCTCCCCTCCCTCCCACCTTCTCACCGTAGCGCGGTTGAGGTGCAGGTCCGGGTTACAGGACGCTGTAGGATCCACCTTTTCCTAGTGTGGAGAAGGAAGCAATGTCAGAGCGCCCCCTAGTGGCCTCCCGCCTGCTCCCTACAACACAGCGCCCCCTACAGCTGGGCTGGAGCACTGGGGCTGAGAGAAGAGCGCCCCCTAGTGGCCTCCCGCCTGCTCCCTGCAGCACAGCGCCCCCTAGAGCCATGCCGGAGCCAGGGCAGTACCTACCGCCTGGGCATAGGCGCTCAGGGCCTGCTGGGCAATGCCGGGGCTCTGGCCAGTGTGGAAGAACAGCGAGAGGTAGGCGTTTCCCAGCACATCTGCAGCGGAGAGACACAGCGTATTTACTATAGAACATAATCAATAACCACGTGTCATAGACTAAGTAAATATTTGCATTGGGTATAATAATAAATTACCTGCCATTACTGAGTGCCATGGCGGGAAGCAACAGCACCGCCCAGAGGGAACAGCCAGGGGGTGGGGCCTAGGCAAGCGTGCGTCTCTGACGTCAGGAAAGGGCACCGGATTCAAAAGGAGGAAAGTGGAGCAGACACAGAGGACGCGGAGGAGACAGAGAGGAGAACGGAGGAGGCAGAGGACAGCGAGAGAGACGCAGCAGGAGGAGGAGAAGAGAAACACAAAGCGCCCCCTAGTGCCCCCCCACCTGCTCCCTGCAGCGCAGCGCCCCCTAGAGCCATGCCGGAGCCAGGGCAGTACCTACCGCCTGGGCATAGGCGCTCAGGGCCTGCTGGGCAATGCCGGGGCTCTGGCCAGTGTGGAAGAACAGCGAGAGGTAGGCGTTTCCCAGCACATCTGCAGCGGAGAGACACAGCGGTCAGCGCCGGGCGCAGGGGATGGGCCAGCAGAGGACGGGCTGGAGGCCGGAGGGTGGAGACTGGATGGAGGGTGACAGGGGAGGGGGAGGGAGGGAAGATCCTAGGCAAGCGTGCGTCTCTGACGTCAGGAAAGGGCACCGGATTCAAAAGGAGGAAAGTGGAGCAGACACAGAGGACGCGGAGGAGACAGAGAGGAGAACGGAGGAGGCAAAGGACAGCAAAAGAGAGAGTGAGAGAGACGCAGCAGGAGGAGGAGAAGAGAAAGAGAGAGATGGAGAGAGAGGCAGGAGGCGGAGGAGAGCTAAGAGAGAGGGGGAGACAGTAGGCAGAGGAGGAGGAGAGAGAGAGACGGAGCGAGAGACCGGAGGCTCAGGAGAGAAGACCGACGTGGAGGAGAGACCTGAAAATCCCGTCTTATGACGGGCTGATTGGCTAGTTATTAAGTATTTGAATAGTAAATTATGATATTAAAGTTTTTGTTATGGATCACACTTATCCCTACCAATGAATATTTCAATATTAGCATCTAAACAGGAGAAGTAAATGTTTCACCATTTGGTACTGGAAATAATGAGTAGCCAATAAATGATTAAATTCCTGTGTTACTTTCCTGTCCTTGATTCTTAGTCTATTAACACACCTCCCAATGAGGCAAGTAACACAGGAATTCAGCCATTAATTGGCTACGTTCAGACGATTAACAAGACTAGATTGGACTTTTGCCCTACTAGGAAGGAAGGGGTCGGAATCGTGGGAGGACCCGAGCTCCGGGTCCAGCTTCACGGCCTTGGACAGCAGCTCCTCCGCCTGGGGGCTGTAGTCGGGCGTCACGTTCAGAGCCTTCCCCTTCAGCATCAGGGCCCGCGCCCGGCCCTGGGAAGAGCCTGGAGAGCCCTACTAGGAAGGAAGGGGTCGGAATCGTGGGAGGACCCACTTATCCATGGATTATGGACGTAGCTTGGCCTACGAACAAATGGGCACAAGTGAGAGGGGTAGCAACAGAGCAGGGAGACGTGTGCGGGGGCTCCGGCTCCTTCCCCGTCCACACAACCCTCAGCACGAACGGACCCACCTCTCCCCCTGCCAGAGGAGGACCCCAGGTGTTAAGAATGGTTAATGAAGAGTGACCAGGGATTAAGTGTTAGCGGCAGCAGGTGTGTATATATTTCTTTGTGTATATATTTGTGTGTGTGCGTGCGTGCGCACAAAGTGCCACCTACCTTCTTGCTGCTCCCTGGGGAGAAAAGGAGAGGGGGGGGGGAGAGAGAGAAAACCTTGTTGTGCCTTGGGTCCCGATCCATGCAGGGCTGCTGCAGGCCAGGAACCTGCCCCCTTTCCTCTTCCCCCCCACTGACCCACAAGGCAGCCTGAATCAATTTGGCTCCAGGACAGGGCCTGGTTGGCTCAGGGGGGGTGGGGAATGGGGAATGGGGCATGGGACATTTCCCCTCTAGCTGCAATCCGGCCCCAGGGGTGGGGAATGGGACGCCAGCTTTTCCCCCTCTAGGCCAGGGGCTGCGTTTCCCTCCTGTACCCGGGTACCATCTATCTCGCCCATCTGCTGGAGCGTCTTCTCCATTTCCTTCAGCACGTCCTGCTGCTTCCTCCCGGCATCCCCCACGCTGTGGCTTTCGAAGTAGTGGTCCCGGAAGTAGTACAGGCCATCGACCAGCCCCTGGGAGGACAGAGGGGCAGGCGGGAGCCCGGCCCGTTGGTGAACTACGCCCTAGCGCAGCAGCTACAGGAGGGGACACGGAAATCCGTGAGACCCCGAGCACGTGGGCAAGACCCGCCAGGCTGTCAGCCGGGAAACAATCCTCCGGAGACACTCGGAGCCTTCCCCACCTAGCGCCCTGTCTCAGGCCACTGGTTTGGTTTTTCCGTACACACAGTTGCAGATGGAGATTAGGGATGTAAAATCCCAGTAAAAAATTAGCTGGTTAAACAGAATCGTAATCCCGCAGCAGGGGTGGACAGAGTACCCAGCTGGGCTGCAGCTGCCCCCTCCCCGGCTCCAGCCTGGCCAGGACCAACCAGAGCACCTCCCTCCCAGTTAACTGGTTACCCCAGTAAGCATGCTGGTAAGGTGCAGGAACCCTTTACACCCTTTATGGGCCACAAAGCTTTGCAGGCCGGCTCAGCATCCCCTGCCCTCCATAAGCCCACCAAGCTCAGACTGTGTCTACACTTCGCAGTTTTAAGCTTTAATTTGAACGCGTTTGCCACAGCACCAGCACCCGGCAAGTCGCTAACTTCTGCTCCCCGCGCTGTCGCTTTGCAGCGCTGTTTGTGTGTGCGTGCACCACGCTCTGTGTGTGTGTGCAGAGATGGGTGTGTGTGCGTGCACCACGCTGTGTGTGTGTGTACAGAGATCAGCGTGGGTGCGTGCACCACGCTGTGTGTATGTGTGTATACAGAGATCAAAGTGTGTGCATGCACCACGCTCTGTGTGTGTGTGTGTGCAGAGATCGGTGTGTGTGCGTGCACCACGCTGTGTGTATGTGTGTATACAGAGATCAAAGTGTGTGCATGCACCACGCTCTGTGTGTGTGTGTGCATCACGCTCTGTGTGTGTGTGTGTGTGCAGAGATCAGCGTGGGGTGCGTGCACCGCTGTGTGTGTGGAGCAATGTTTGTGAGTGCGTGCCCGGGGCTCGGGCCGTGCGTTCATGGTGTGTGTCGCTGTGTAGCGGTGCGCACTGCGGGGCGCGCGGAGATCAGTGTGGGTGTGTGCAGGGGGCACGCGGGGGGGGGGGTCGAAGCCCGGGCAGACGCACGATCCGCCCCCCGCCCGGCCGGCCCTGGCCCGGCACCTCCA